GTAGAGGATAGGAAAGGCAGCAGAATACAACAGACACTAGTATGGCAGTATGTAAAAATGTGGATGTGTAACCGATGTGATTCTGCAATCTGTATGGGGGGGGGGAAATGGGAGTTCATAATCCACTTGAATCAAATGTATGAAATATGTCAAGAGCTTTGTAATGTTTTGAACAACTAATAATAATAATAAAAGAAAAAAAAGCCAAAATATGAATTCAGAATTCAGAAGTTAATTTCTATTTTATGCAAGTTTTGATAAGATTACATTTAGAAATATTTTGTCCAGTAGAAGCTGTTCTTACCACCATATGCTGTGGTTTGTGACTGTGTTAAAAGAAGATAAGATTGTACAATATTTTTAGATGAGCACACTAGTTGAGACTTAACATCTAAATAATCGTAAACTTTCAAGATATTTTAGGTTGGCTACAAAGCTAAAGAAGATGTAAGCAATCTGAGGAGAAAAAAATAGCTGACAGATGATAAATATAATAAAATGTTACATTTAGGATGAAATACAAAAAATTTAAGTAAAACAACTTCATACTTACATACTCCATCATATTGCTAGTTTCGCATTTCCTTTTAGTCAACTTCCAGTGCAAAGCAAGCTAAGAAAGTACAGTTTTGTTAAGAATTTTATGTTAACTTAAACTAATTACAATTACAACCTATACATCTGAGTTAAGTCACAGCAAATAATATAGGCATAAGATATGAAACAGGACTTAAAATACCTTATAAAACGATCTATTAAATAGTTGAGTATTAGTTCTCTAATCCTTTCATGGCTTGAAAAATCCCCATTTAGTACTTTTTTCAATTTAATAATTAAAATAAATAAATGAGGCACCCATTTGCTTAGCATTTCTTACCTTGTGATATAATCTGTTATTTTCCCACTCTAATAACTTCTGAATTGATCTTCTGGTCTGAGGAAAAGGATAAAGACTTTGTTACAAGATGAACTGCAGAACTTTGTTTACTCTGTGTATCTATAGTTTCCTGTTTACTTGTAATTCCCATTTATTTCTCCTCTTGGTTTTCTATTATAAATCAGAAAAAAATGCAATGTGACTGATAGCAACCACCAAGTTAAAGTTAAGTAAAAGAAGAGGCAAACAAATGGAAAACGTTCTACTTTTAAAATAATTAAACAAAATAAATAATTTAAATAAATGTTATGTTACATTATGAAAGGGATGTTGCAAATATAATAAACTCAGAGGGCTCATTTACAGTTGGTTAGATCAGCAACAATGCCAGCTGGAATATATCTTGGGGTCATTACACTTGACAGAATCCAGACAAAATCAGGATACAAAATAAAGAAATTGAATTAGTAATTAAGAATCTTTTCACAAAGAAAAAAAAAACAGGACCAGATGGCTTCAATGATAAATCTACCAAACATTTTAAAAACATCAATCCTTCACATATTTTCCAAAAAATAGAGGGAACACTTCCCCCAACTCATCATCTGAGGATTGATACCAAAGCTAGACAAAGACATCACAAATGCATAAAGAAAACAAAAGATGAGTATCCTTCAATAATATAAACACAAAATTCTCAACAATACTAGATTGAATCATGTGTAAATGGAATCCATCCAAGGAATACAAAAAATGAACTAACATATTACATGAACAAAAGACAAAAAACATGTGATTGTCTTAGTAGATTTAGAAGAAGCACAGACAAAATCCAACATCCATTAATTATAAAAACCCTGGAGCCTGATGCAGTGATAGTTGTCTGTATTCCCAACAACTGGGGAGGTTTAAGCACGAGAATCACAAATTTGAGGTCAGCCTCAGCAACTTAGTGAGGTCCTAAGCAACCTTGTCTCAAAATAAAAAATGAAAAAAAGTCTGGGGTGTATAGCTCTGAGGTTAAGTGTCCCTGGGTCCAAACCCAAGTACAAACAAACAAACAGGGCTGAGGATGTGGCTAGGTGGTTAATCACCTCTAGGTTCAATTCCTAATATCAAAAACAAACAAAAACCCTGAAAAATTAGGACTAGAGGGGAACTTCCTTGGCCTCATAAAGAACAGCTATGGAAAACCTACAGCTACCATCATACTTTATGGAGACAAACTAAATGTTTTCCCCCTAAGACTGGGAACAAGACAAGGACGTTTTCTCCCACCACTTTTTTTTTCAACACCATATTGAAAGTTGTAGCCAGAATAATAAACAAAAGGTATCCAGATTGGAAAAGAAAAAACTGTCTTCATTCACAGACAAATGATTCTGTATGTAGAAAACCCAAGGAAACCACTAAAACACTACTAGAACTATAAGTGGTTTAGCAAGTTTGCAGAATAAAAGACTGTGGTAAGCAGAATTCTGGCTTCTATGATCTTGAACCCCTAGCATTTCACCTGTGAATATTGTTACATTACAGGGCTGGGGATGTGGCTCAAGCGGTAGCGCGCTCGCCTGGCATGCGTGCGGCCCAGGTTCGATCCTCAGCACCACATACCAACAAAGATGTTGTGTCTGCCGAAAACCAAAAAATAAATAAATAAATAATAAAATTCTCTTTCTCTCTCTAAAAAAAATATTGTTACATTACAAAAGGGATGCTGAAGATGTAATTAAAGTTACTGATCAATTGGTTTTCAAATAGGAAGATTATGCGGGATGTGCCTGTAATCCCAGTGGTTCAGGAGGTTGAGGCAGGAGGATCCCAATTTCAAAGGCAGCCTCAGCAATAGCAAGGTGCTAAGCAACTCAGTGTGACCCTATCTCTAAAAAAAAAAAAAAAAATACAAAATAGGGTTGGGGATTGTGGCTCAGTGGTCGAGTGCCCCTGAGTTCAATCCCCAGTAACCCCCCCCCCAAAAAAAGAAAAGAACATTATCCTGATTTATTTGTGGAGTGCCAATGTATCAATAAGAGCCCTTAAAAGCACCATGTTGGCTTTAAAATGGAAAAGGTCACCTAGAAAGTTTAAGGAAACCCATTTTGCTAAAACTGGGATTGGAAGCATATTCTTTTACAGGATATTCAGACAGGAATGCAGCCTTGATAGCACTTCAGCCTTGTTACACCCTAATGAGAAAACCCAATTAAGCCATGTTGTACCTACACTTCTGATTATGAAATAATAAATGGTGTTACTCTACACCACTGAGTCTGTGAAAAATTTTGTGATCTTTAGGAGGCAGGAGGATCACAAGTTTGAGGATAGCTTCAATAATTTAGGGAAACCTTAAACAACTTAGCGAGATACTGTCTCAAAACTTAAAAAAAATAAAAACCTGAGGATGTAGCTCCGTGGTAAAGTGTCTCTGGGTTCAATCCCTGATAATCTATACCTCAAATAAACAAATTTATGTTACACCTCAAAGAACTAGAAAAATGGGGCTGGGGATGTGGCTCAAGCGGTAGAGCGCTCGCCTGGCATGCGTGCGGCCCAGGTTCAATCCTCAGCACCACATACAAACAAAGATGTTGTGTCCGCCGAGAACTAAAAAATAAATATTAAAAANTAAATAATAAAATTCTCTTTCTCTCTCTAAAAAAAATATTGTTACATTACAAAAGGGATGCTGAAGATGTAATTAAAGTTACTGATCAATTGGTTTTCAAATAGGAAGATTATGCGGGATGTGCCTGTAATCCCAGTGGTTCAGGAGGTTGAGGCAGGAGGATCCCAATTTCAAAGGCAGCCTCAGCAATAGCAAGGTGCTAAGCAACTCAGTGTGACCCTATCTCTAAAAAAAAAAAAAAAAATACAAAATAGGGTTGGGGATTGTGGCTCAGTGGTCGAGTGCCCCTGAGTTCAATCCCCAGTAACCCCCCCCCCAAAAAAAGAAAAGAACATTATCCTGATTTATTTGTGGAGTGCCAATGTATCAATAAGAGCCCTTAAAAGCACCATGTTGGCTTTAAAATGGAAAAGGTCACCTAGAAAGTTTAAGGAAACCCATTTTGCTAAAACTGGGATTGGAAGCATATTCTTTTACAGGATATTCAGACAGGAATGCAGCCTTGATAGCACTTCAGCCTTGTTACACCCTAATGAGAAAACCCAATTAAGCCATGTTGTACCTACACTTCTGATTATGAAATAATAAATGGTGTTACTCTACACCACTGAGTCTGTGAAAAATTTTGTGATCTTTAGGAGGCAGGAGGATCACAAGTTTGAGGATAGCTTCAATAATTTAGGGAAACCTTAAACAACTTAGCGAGATACTGTCTCAAAACTTAAAAAAAATAAAAACCTGAGGATGTAGCTCCGTGGTAAAGTGTCTCTGGGTTCAATCCCTGATAATCTATACCTCAAATAAACAAATTTATGTTACACCTCAAAGAACTAGAAAAATGGGGCTGGGGATGTGGCTCAAGCGGTAGAGCGCTCGCCTGGCATGCGTGCGGCCCAGGTTCAATCCTCAGCACCACATACAAACAAAGATGTTGTGTCCGCCGAGAACTAAAAAATAAATATTAAAAATTCTCTCTCTAAAAAAAAAGAACTAGAAAAACAACAAACTAAGCCAAACACTTTTTATTATCATAATTATTAACATTGTACAAATTAATGGGTTTCACTCTGGCATTTCCACACATACATATATCAAGCTTTGATTTTGTCTCCCTTGCCTTCTCCTATCCTCTTCTACCACCTCCCATTCCGTGTCCCCCAACCTCTCCTAATCTCTTATAGCCTCACTTCTACTTTCAGGTCATTTTTTTCCTTTTAGTTTACACATGAGAAAAAATGTGTGATACTTGTCTTTCTGTGTCTGGTGTATTTTGCATAAAATGATGTCTTCCAGTTCCATCATTTTCCTGCAAATGACATTTTATCTTATGGATGAATAATACTACATTGTGTATATATGCAATATTTTCTTTTATCCATTCATATGATGGGCCCCTACGATAAATCCATATCATGGATATTGTGAATAGCACCTCAATAAGCAGGGATCTCTTTTGTATGCTGATATCATTTCCTTTGGATATATACCCAGGAGTAGTATAGCTGAATTATATGGTAGTTGTATTTTTCAGATTTGGGGGGAAACCTCCATACTGTTTTCCATAGTGGTTATACTAATTTACATTCCCACCAAGAGCATATAAAGATTTCCTTTTCTTCACATCATCTCCAGCATTTTTTATTGTAGCCATACTGACTGGAGTGAGATGGAACATCAATGTAGGTTTGATCTGCATTTCTCAATCACTTTTTAAATTTATTATCTTGTAGTTCAGTGGTTTTTTATTTTTTGTGGTGCTGGGAAATTGAGCCCAGAGCCTTGTGCATGCAAGGCAAGCACTCTACCAACTGAGTTATATATATTCCCAGCCCCATTTCCCTATCACTAAAGATATTTTTTTTTCATATAATTATTGGTCTTTTGTATTTCTTCTTTTAAAAAGTGTCTGTTCAAATCATTTGTCCATCTTTCAAAATATTTTTATTACTGATGGACCTTTATTTATTTATATGTGGTGCTGAGAATTAAACCCAGTGCCTCACACATGCTAGGCAAGTGATCTACCACTGAGCCACAACCTCAGCCCCATTTGTCCTTTTTTTTTTTTTTTTTGGTCATGCTGGGGATGGAACCCAGGGCCTTGTGCAAATGAGGAAAGCACTCTACCAATGGGCTATATTCCCAGCCCTGTCCATTTTTAATTGACTTACTTGTTCTTTTGTTGTTCAGTGTTTTTTTGAGTTCCTTATATATTCTAAATATTAACCTTCCTCAGATATATAGCTGAAAAATATTTTCTCCCACTTGGTAGATTGTCTCTGTTGATTGTTTTCTTTGCTGTGCAGCTTTTAAATTTGCGTAATCCCAATAGCTAACCAATAGAACTGTGCCCTTTCAAGATGAATGGATAAAGAAAATGTGGTATATATAAACAATGGAATTATTCAGCCATAAAGAAAAATGAAATTAT